TTGTTGCTAAGCTAATCGTTGTCCTCTCTAGAGATCATCTGTCAGTCAGACAGTTTGAACGGCACTATTGATGTCTTTCTCATTGGATATGATGATGAAAAATGAGATTCCTAAAACGGTCAAAACGTGGGTAGAGCAGGAAATATTAAGGTTTTCCTGAATATCTGCAGATCAAGAATTCAGCTGTGACAAACCAAGCTCTTATTTTATAATTCTGGCATCTACTATCTTAAAAAAGGTGTATTGGGTTCCCTGTTCCTGATGGTACATTGATAACAACTGGGATCTGAAAACAAGTTCAGTAAATGTTTGAATTACTAAGAATCCTGAAATCATATCAGTCACACTGGCCAACAAAAAAACAAAACAGTAAGCCACATGAAAACGAGACAACCATCCTCCTTTGATTAGTTCTTCTCCTCTTCATCACAACCATCCACTGCTGCTTGAGCACTTTAGCACTTCTGTTTTGCCCCCATGTGACCCAAAAGGCTGCTGGGATTGCTTCAGATATAATCCAAACCACCTTAGGCTGCGTCTAACCACAGTTGAAGCTGACTGATCTGACACCACAGAACCAGGCATTGTTTCAAATACTTTCATTCACAGTCCCAGACGTTGGCAGACACTGTGAAATGGGTGAAATCCCAGCTTGGTGAAGCTGGCACAGAAACCCAGCATCTTGGATCCCTTCCACTTCAGAGAGCTCTGCCACATGCTAACTGTCATCCATGAGACACTGCTAGCCCAAAGGGAGGTCTGGCAGAATTGGTGGGTAGTGGGGGAGGATGGGGGTGGTGTAAACATCGGGATATACTCTTCACATATACAAACATGGAAGACACTGTGGGCTCCTCAGAGATACAGCACCAGAGGCCATCAGAGGTGATTATTATTTATGCACAGACTATTCTGAGCAGAGCTTCATATACTCCAGCTTGTCTCACCTCACCCCCCCCCCCCCCACCACACACACAAATGTTTCCTTTTCCTTATTGCTGTCTATGCCTGGTAGATCCCCTGACATATTCACGCCTCCTTCATAAACACCTGCAGCTGCTTGGGCAATTAGCTCTTTACTTTCTACTATAATACCCAATCCTCAGAAATCTCCACAATTATTTCCTTAATTGCTTCTAAACAACCAAGGCATAACCAATAAATAGAAGAAAGTGGTAGGTAGTTAGGTGAAGAGGCAGGCTTCTGGGAAAGAATCAAGCTAGTTTAGTTTGGCTAACGTGTTCCTCCTCTCTCTTCCCTATGCAGCCTCAGGCAGTTGTTTGCTGCTGTGACATGGCTTGGAAAGGCCTGCAAGAGGAGCAAGGAAAGAATGGGTAAAAACTCAAGTCAGTGGAGGCCTGATGCCTCATATTCAAATTGAAAGTGACACATCCATGCCCTTTATTCTGTGGTCTAACTATCACCTCTGAGAAATGCTCACATTCAGTGTGACAGAGGGTGTTACGGTGACTTTTAGATGGGCAAGAGATGGTGCCCCCCGGGCACGAATTTGTGTGGCAGCATGATATGACACAGCTCGCTTCACAGAGCAATGGGGATACCCCCAAGATTAGCTGAATGCATTAAAGGGAGGCATGAAATGTAGCTAACTGTTGATTAAATCGCTGTTACAACCATACTGGCGGTTCCAGTTAACCTCCTTAACATTGACAACAGCTACACCACTAACATGACAATGGCCTACAGGCCTAAATGTACTGTTCAGTGTGTGTGGCCTCACAACAGACAGGGTTAGGAAAGGAGTAAACCATTTTATAAAGACGATCAAGTAAATGGCCCATTAATGAATTAGTCAAAAGACAGAAAGTTAAAAAATTGATAATTGCTTTCCATTTACGAAGCAAAAATGCAACTATTTTCTAGCTCTCCTTCTCAGTTGTGAGTAACTGCTGTTCTTCTCTGTTTTCTAATGCTATAATTTCAATAATTTCTTTAATGATGATCACGTTTATATGGACTTAGAGAATCTTAGACACTTGAATGTTTCTTTTCAGATTTCCTCCCTGCAACAACCACCCTTTGATTCACTAAGCATAAACGGGTCTGCCCAGAGGATGACATATGTAGCAGCTGCCCTCGACTTCTATGCCTCCATCGTTAGCTGTGGCTGAATATCTGCTGATATTCTGATGAAAGAATAAGTACAGACTCTGACAACACGTCGTCTATTCATAACAGTTTCTGGCATTCAATCAAAGAAACACAGTTGATTGGTATATTGATAAAGCCAAATCTAGTACTGTCAAGCATAGTAATGCTCTGCATCTTGTGTGTCTGTGTGTTGTCTACTGCGGCAGCACAGCATCACAGTAAAGCATTGTCTACACACATTTCTCTGTATCCAGACTACACTGACTGTACTTACTGTAGCCCCCTTTCTTCCTCTCTCTCTCTCTCTCTCACACACACACACACACACACACACACGATACCAAGGAGGTATACAAGCACCATCTAGTGCTTTATTCTGGAAATTGCTCTGAATGTCAGAAATGTCTTGAAGAATTCCAAGTTTTTCATTCTTTTGAATTTATAATATATAAGTGATTTGACATTAAATTCTCACTGCACAAAGGTGGTAAATTAATTTGCATCACATAATGAAAGCAAAAAAAAAAAATCTAGATTAAACCCATAACAATCAGCAAATCTGCATAAATACAAAATGGCAAATTCACAATAACTGGTTAAAATCTTTGCTAGAATCTTTACCTGCACCTGCTGACTACTGTGACCTCTGACCTCTCTGGTGAAACACATTTGTGTGTTTCACAGACAGAGCACTGTGTGTACTCCTCCACCATCCTCAAAGGTTTGGATTTATTTCATAAATAGGACCGTGATGTTTCTTTTTTTTAAAGCAAATAATTAATTCTTGATCAAAGAATTCACACAACGTGTTCAGTGGAAACTCTGAATATTGTCCGTGTGAGCGCATGTGCACAAATAAACAACAGCAACATTGATCATGTAGCCCCTTTCCTGGGTATTCACAGATAAGAGGATGACAGTGGTAGAAACGTGGACTAGTTTCAACAACACAAGGACTTATCTGGATTCATCAACTCACATGTCACTAACCTGTTACCACTGAAGCAATTACTCATTCGACTATAACTACACAAGCAGAGCGCGAGATTTTGGATGTTCACTCAACAAAGTGCCAGAACAGTTCTAAGAAATATTACTGAGGTTTAGCCGAGTCCCAAACAAGTTTCAAAACTGGACTCGTCCAATTCTGAGTGAAGACAAAAATAGGAAATACAACATGTTGAGGTGGATTTTATGATATACAACACAATGTATGTGCCAACTTTTTCTAATTTGGGGTTGTAAAACTAATGTATAGGAAGTTTCTGAATCATCTGTATCTCTGAATTAAAATCTTTCATATTTAACATTAATTTGAAACACTGAATTTAAAAAAACAAAATACAAATGAAAGAAAAATGCCCATTCGTTTAGTCAAAGTAAGACCCAAGAGCAGCTAAACTCAAGATAAAGCCACCACAGGAAAAACATCTGACATGAGCATAAAAGGTCATCAAAATAGTCAGGAAACAGAAAACGTGTTCACATGATTCAGATCTTGAGGTCACATTGGACAAATGTGTTAGAAGTTTGCATTTATCCAGACTAAGATTTTGATACTTCCTATGTTCACTCCCTAAACATACTAAAACAACTGATAAGTAGGTGACCCATCAGCCACCTTGGCTCAAAAAAGCCTCGCTGACATCCACAGCTAAGTGCACTGGATTAATCCTTGACCTTTGATCTTAAGGTTCTACGGCATCTGACATTTGACTGTTAGCACTGAGAGTGTATCACTGTGGTTTAAAGTCTTACTCCACTGGAAAATGTGCTTTGCTTAGTGTTTACAAGGATGTTCGAGCTTCACTGTGCAGAATGATGGACTGTATATCTGACAGGTATCTAACACACTCAACCTGATGAACAGAAAATGCAAAGATTTTTAACAAGGTAGCTGAACTTTTTGTGGGGACAAAAATAATGAAGCAGACCATTATTCTAAGTATTTTATGTCTTCAATCTATATCTCAAGAAAGTATTTAAATGAAAAGGACCCTGAAGGTTGACTGTATTCTGCATGTTTGAATGACTGGCCAGTTTTATCTCAGGTCCCGTTATTTTCCTTTGGCTTTGATTTGTCTGCAGCATTTGAATATATAGAAAAAAGAAAACACACATCTGAATTTGTGGGGAACTTATTATTCCACTTACTCCACCACTGTTTCTGGTGTTTACAGTCCACCAATTTTTATCATGACATACACTGATAAATGTATTTTCACATGAACTCTATTAGAATTTGACAAACTTGACCTGCTGATATTTGATTGTTACTAAAGGCACAATACTGAGCTGACAAAGTGCAGTGAAGGCCGATCATCACCAGTCTGATATTCATAAAAGGCAACGGGTTGCAGACACAGCAGTACCCTGGTAACCTCAACCAGGCTTTGTGGCATTTTTGCCAAACACAGTGTAATTAGAATTGCACCTACAATGTTTGAGTCAAATAATAAACATCTGTGAAAATTTGTATGCATTTATTAATCCATACAAACAACCTTCATAACAAAGCTTCCACAAACAAACTTCAGGCCCAATGAAGCCTGATAACAATTACTGGCCAAACATATGGGTAGACTTGGTAGCATTAGGCAGTCTGCCATACTATTAACTGTAGACTACTGTTTGCAACCACACAAAACTAAGACAAGCTTGAAACTAACTTGGAATTGGAAAACTGTGATGGTAGGTGTAATAGTAATATTGTCACTAACTGACAATGTGATGATACATTTTATTTTTATGTTTACTACGGAAGTGTAGTCTGAAACACGTAGTACTCACCCTCTAAGTCAGTTTTGCTGTTGTTGTAGCACAATCAAGCGAACTCCAACAAAACCTCTATCGGCATCCGTAGGTCGCTGACGTCACGGTAAACATGGCTGCTTCCCCCTAGTGATCGAGTAAAAGGCAAAACACAATAGTGTTTGCGAAAGCACGAACAAGATGTGAATGTAACGCATCGATCGCACTTTTCGAAAGCGAGATCTTAGATTAAGCATCTGATGAAACAATGTTCAACAGAGGTTTCGCCATTTTTGCTGTTTCAGTGAATCATGTCAGAGCCGAGGACGCATGTTGCAGCCGCAGCCGGTGGCTCCTCTGAATTCACTGAGCTGTGGAGGAATGTTTCCAAACTTTGCCAACACTTATCACAAGACAAGAAAACAGGACAAGAGATGCTTGAAACAGCATCACCCAAATGTAAAGGTGAGGCTGAGACAATCTGGCAGCTGGCAATTATCAGCGCGGAACAAACGGATGGGTTGAGAATAATTGACCCTGTCTAATGAATCCGTTGAGTGACGGTCATTAGTGATGAAATCCAATATGTGATCATGAAAACCAACGTTAACTGATTTAAATTCAACATACATACGACTAACCTATGTCAGAATTCATGGTCATTCATAAAGAATTGATAGTTGTTCCACATGATTGTCATAATGATGACGAAAATAAGATAAATGGATGCTGTGGCATAAAGATGGGATGCTGTTTTGGAATTTAGTCTAACTGACAATGTTATAAATCCTATTAAATGTTGTAATCTTTGTTGGCATCGTATGTGCATTGTTAGCTAGCTGATAAAAGTTTAGCCTTGAATTTTGGATTGTTTTTCTCCTACATTCCTGACAACGTGAAAAGCCTCAAAAACAGAAAGGCCAAGCTCTAGTTTGCAAAAACATACAAAAAAAAAAAAAAACAAGTAGAGTTGTGTAATAAAGTTCTATGGACTGAAACGTGGCATGTCAGTGTAGTATTTATTATGTTATTTAAACTGTATATGCTGAAGAACAAAAATGTGTAACTGTCCAAATAACTACGGTATGGACTATAAAATAAGTCAAATGCACTTAGATAATTGTAAACACAGCAAATTATCTGTAGATGTCTTTATTTGGGTGATATGTCACTCTTGTCACCGGTGTCATTTGCACAGATTTGCTAAATCCTAAGCACATAGGCTGCACCAGGTATCCTGGCCTGAATAATGGGGAATCTCCAGGCGATGCGGAAGTGTCACAAGATATTTTCTGGGATGCCACATCTCCTACTCAAGATAACACAGGTAAGACCTGAAGATGACAGTTCACGGACATTTCCCATCCAGTGTGACAGAGTAAGAATAGGATCCACTTCTCTAATCCAGGTGCTCAAGGCTTGTAGAGACTTACTCAAGATGATTTGAAATAAACACTTTACTGTGTTGTGGTGTTAATTAAAATTAACACCACAACACAGTCAAGTGTGCACAAACTGAAGGCTTATGAATACTGTTTGAAGCCACTGTATACTGACATTACAAATTACACATGTATCAATGTAATTTAGATTGTTTTTAGTGTTGGTAGTAATATAACAATTATTTCTTATCTGTTTACAGGGTCACGGGCCAACAACACCAGAGTAATGGAAATATCAGATATTGTCAACCGCATTGCTCCAAAGGTCAGTTGTTTCTTCAGCATTTGACAAATCAGTATGTTCAAATGTGATGCTGAAAATTAGCCCCTTGTTGTAACTCTAGGCAAGAAGTAGTTTGGATGCATAGTTCTGTGTGCTGTATTGTTTTTTTTTGGCTTTGAAACTTTATGTCTGTATCATATATAGGATGCCAAACCAAAAGGGACCGATTCCCCTATGCTGCAGTGGATAGGTGATGGTGCTGTCTCTAATACGCCAGAGATTCCAAAGATAAGAGTCAAGAAGAAGCACTCTCGGTACTTCATATATTGACCCAGAAATCTCCTGACTGAGGATCTGTGGTTTTATTTCCTATATTACCAAACACTATATGCAAACATTAGGTCATTTTTACCTGTAGCACTTGATTTTTTTTATTAGTATTAGTAGTAGTTTTCCTGTCTTAATTGGTTTGTTGATTATTTCCCTCGTCTGTTTTTCCTCTCCACAGACAGAGCAGTGTGGAGGACCTCAGGAAACTGGCCAGGCAGTTTGATGAGAACATGCAGCAACACAAGGAGACTTCAGAGCAGCTTGCCACTACCAACAGCAACCTCAAAAAATGTGTGAACATTCCCAACACAAAACTGACAGAGATAGCATTCCATAGCAACGTGAAGGACCTAAAATGTCCACCCTCATCAGATCAGGTGGAGGCAGAGCTACATGATCTGTTTGACAGCTCCACTCAGATAGTCAACAGGAGGCTAAGCTCGAGCTCATCTGCATCAGCCTGTTCACAGGAATTAAAATACCAACCTGTGACCTCAACATCAGCTGAACCCCAACAATCACAGCTCAAGTATGCTGACAAGTCCAGCTCAGCTGCACATCCTTCTGAAGAAAGAGGATCTGATGGTTTTAGTGTGAACAACTGTGTTGACTTTGATGATGACTGGGAGAATGATGACCTGCTTAATGACTCTGTCCTGCTGGCGATGACCCACAGTCTTGACCAGCAACATGACACCAACCCTAAAACCAGCTTGCAGTCTAAGAGAAACACTACGACACCAACCCTAAAACCAGCTTGCAGTGTAACACTAAGAGAAACACTAGTCCGTTCACTTCTGTTTGCAATTCTTTTCCAAATACAAACTCCACACATCAGCCTTTAAATTTGCACCACAAACCAAGCAGCAGTGCACTCCAGGAACTGTGTCCCAAACCAAAGACTACCAACCGAAGCACTTTCAAGTTAGAGCCAAACCCCCACTTCCTGCCCAAAACAGCTGCCAAAGATGTTTCCAAGTCCAGCTTCACTGCTATACGGCCTAAATCACAGATGTATGACAGAAAATCTTCTACCATAAAGACAGTGTCTACTCCTCAGCCTGATAAGATCACTAATGATCAGAAGGGGGCTTGTGTATCTGCAGACTCTGGTAAAGACATTTCCGACAGCATATGGGATGATGGGGACGACGCGCTGCTCTACCAGGTATGTGACAGCGTGGAGAGGATCTCCAACAGTCAGCCACAGCAAGTGAGCCCCAGTGACTGCCAGCAAAAGCAAGATACTGCTGTAGACATACAGCGAAAAAACACTGCACCTCTGCCAATCAACACAACCTGGTCCATGAATGCCAGTGTCAGTGCTAAGAGACAGCCCCCACATGCTTTTGTACGTTCTAACTCATTACCAGGTGCTAGCTGTGACACTGTTAACTACCAAGGAAGGAACATTCCCATGAGAGATGGCATCAACAACTCACGGATGTCTCAGAGCTTCCCAGGAAGCTGTGGGGGCCTGGGCGCATTCAGCCAGTGTAGGGATTCCTCTGGGACTCTCCAGGATGGGGACATTAATCTGGACATGAAGCAGAATTCCCAGCACAAAACATTCAAACGGAATGTGTCAGATTCAGCAGCTGTAAGCTGCAAAGGTAAGTTCGGAGAAGATATTGTAAATTGTAGTTAGTTTGATAGTTTAATAATATCACAAAAATCACTGCACAGATCATTGTCTGAAAGTGGAGGAAACACATTTGACAGGTTACAGTCAATACAATATGTAATAACTGAAAGCATTTCCATCGAAAGGAAAATTGGTGCTTTTCTTGGTAAATCTTTGCGGTTTGTGTGTTTCCTTTTCTTTTCTCAGGGTTTTGTTATGAGGCTGGATATTGAAATGAAAACTCAAGTAGAACATATGTCACATGTTGTTCTCATACTCACTGACAGTTCGGTGCACGTGCACTTGAACATTTCTTCTCCAAAGCAAGTAAACGCTGCACAATAACTTTAATTTGTGGTGCTGTCAAGAGTCCAAACCTCAGGAAGCTTCATTGCCAATGAACTGCAGATTGTTTTTTTTTTGTTTTTTTCTGGACACAGGGGGATGTTTTTGTTTTGTTTTGTTTTGTTTTGTATTTTTGGTGTGGTCATGGTGGTAAACGTTTTCGCATTAACAAATTAAAACCCCATTGTTTGAGAACATATAGTCAGAATTCAAGCTCTGAATTGGGGGTTTCCCTTTTTGGGCAACAGTTTTAATTCTCGCTTTTCCAAGGAAAAACAGTGTTTTATTCATTTTTGTAACTTTCCTTCCTCATTTCTAGTTTTTGTCACCAGCCACATAACGGGGAAGTGCTCCACAGCTGAGATTGAGAGGAAGAAACAGGAAGCCCTGGCTAGGAGGCGACAGCGAATGCAGGATACCCCGAAACCATAGAGGAGCCGCACCCTGAGTGGAGAGACGTCTTCATTGATTTTCCTACATTTTGATTGTGAATGTCCACATTGTACAGTGTTATGCCCTCCTCTGTTGATACTATTTATTGTAACAACCATGCTGTGCACCTTTCAAACATAGTTAATCCAACAATATTCAGATAGAAATGTTGATGGCCTCTATTTATGTAGTGCCTTTGTTTGTCATAAGGAATTTGACTCCAACCACTGTTACTTCACATCAATGGGACCGACTTACCCAGTGCCTCATTTATCCTTCATGATGTCTATACTTTGTGTGGTCACAAACAATTCTGAATACATTTGGGTGCTACAGTATACTTCATTGTTTGTACTTTTAGTTATCTGGTATCATTTGTCTATTTTTGCTGCTACCTGTCGGAACCAAAAGAAGGAATAAACATCTGGCAGAAAATGCTCTGATCCTACCTATTGTGAATGCACCTTAAAGCCCTTAGAATCCAGTGCTTCAGTGTTCCCTACTGTAACACTGGGGACTCGAGTCTAAATTGAAGCAGCTGAGGTATCCTGACTTTCAGTCCTTAGTATGACATCACCAGTGTTATTTGTCCCTTTAGACCCCTGGAATACAGCTGTTTTACAGACTGAGTAAAACTCATAAATCGAACTTCATGCGTGAAATCGGTGGAGTGTCTTTTAGCTGCAGTATTGGCTCTTCTTTAGAATCAAACAGCTGGTGAGGATTTAGAGTGTAGAGTGCGTCCTTACTACAGCTATTGGCTTCCATTGCTCTAACGCCTTTGTATTTCAGGGCCGTTGACAGGTCAACAAGATCTGATGGGCCCATTTCGCTAATACTCAAATCTGTTTTCAACAAGTTGCTGCCAGAAAAGGAAGACCATTGTGGAGGTGCACTAGCCTTATTGTGGAGCTTATTATTGTTATTAGACATGAGGGATTATTTTAATATGAGGGCTAATTTGTCCTCTGGCCCCTAATCACTCTGCTCACCTGCTGTGTGTGTAAGGGGAAGTACAATGTTGCTCTTTGTAATCCCAAGAGAATACCTCTGTGTTCCTCCCTCGAGCCCATCCCCAGCCACAACGTGCCTGTGAGCTCCCAGGTGTGTGCATGTGTGAGATCTGTGGTCTGCAGGTGTGTAATTTGTGTATTTATCCCATTCCATGCACGTAATAGGCCCCATCCTCCTCCTTAGCCTGCCTGTTTCCCCTCCCCACCTAGTCAGACTGTAAATCAGGTGGCAGGGCAATTTGGCAACAACATAAAGGTCCCTGGTTTTTATGACTATTATTATGGTTATGATGATGACTAGTATTTATTTCAACTATCTGATGAAACCCCTGACTAAGGCTAACAGGTGTCGAGCAGGTACAATATCACGCTCGCTGAAGGATCCCTGTAATGCCGCCATAGAGAGCAAAATACCGTCCACCAAACAGAAGAGCGGGCTGTTTCAGCACCCGCTCGTCACACCACGCATAGAGCAATTTCTGATTATTGGATAGAGTGGTGTGCTACAGCGTCCTCTTTGTGGAGAGAGAATGATTTATGGCTGTTAGTCAAACATAAGGCAGTAATTGTTGAAGTGACGAAGTTTCCATGGCACCTGTTAAACTGTCTGTTCTTATGTGAATGTTTTCATATTTGGAAGAGGATAATCTGCAGCTTGAAACTGATGTGTGGAGACGTTAATGAAGTTGGGAAAGGCTCTCAGATGGTTTGCTAACAGTTCTGGGGGGGAGTGCATGATGGACAGATTTGTGTTGTGTCATCTGATATATTTGGGAAAGATTGTTTAAAACCAGAACAGTATGGAACAGTTTCTTAAACGTGTGAGACAGAAGCAGGCATCTCAGCAAGTATGATAAGTACACAGAAATGTGTACTTGTTGACCAATTTAAATGCGCACATTACTGCATTTTATAAAAACCATACTGTAATAATAGTCAAGTCACAAAAGACGACACAAGCTCACATTCAGTACGATGAAAAATAGTAGTTCAAGCTTTATGATACACTAGTCGATACATCTGTTCCTCATGTCCACATCTAACTCACTCAGTAATGATTATTAGGGGCCACATGGTGTGACAGCTTAGTGGCCTGTGTTATCTGCTGAGCCTGACCTTTGACCTCCCCGTTGATGTTAAACTGAACAAAATTCTCCTTCATCGATCAAAACACTACCTTTGTTGAAACACTTTTGTGTCACCGGTTTGGGACTCAGAGCCCTGCAATGATTAAGGATACACAGCAGAAAAAGAAGATTGATGAATGTTGAAGATGGATGAGGATGAATCCTCATTTCACAGGCTGGAAAACCGAGCAAGTTATGATCAATCCCTCAAAAACATCTGTGAAGGTGCCTTTTAGAAAGGCCCATAACATTCTTTTTTTTTTTTGATTAGGCTAGAGCCATTTGAAGTTTTTTGGGGGGTTTATTCAATATTGATGAGTTAAAATAGATTTTTAGAATGATAATAATAATGTGATCATTTAGTTAACCCTCATGTAAAATTAATGTTTTCCTTTGCAGGGGTCTCTGACAATGAGGCTGCTCCTGATTTGTCATGATTCATGCAGATACTGTACATACAGCACACTTTTCTCATTTAAAGCTGTTTCAGAAAGAAAATCTAGCTTGAAAGTACAGATTGCTATTATGGAAAAATGCTGTGCAAGCATCTAGTTTTATGACACTCCTTAAAATCCTGTAAATTTGGCAGTCTCGAAATACTATATCATTTTAGGAAACTGGAAGACTAGCATTTATTGTGTCCCCCCTTCTTCCTTGTCTTCTTTCGGCACTTATCTCAGCAAGGGGCTGAAGTGGCGGAAGTGAGTAATGAGACCTGGAGGCATATCAGTGTGCTGGATTACCGATACATTTGCAGTAGATTCCTATGAGCCAAAACTTTGCAAGGATATCCACTGTTTCACAAACAGACTCCAGGAACAGCGAACATAAATTAAACATCTTTAGAAATACAACCCGAGGTAGCTATTGCCTCTTGAAACCAAGTGCAGAGCAGTCCAGTGGAGATAACATCTCTAAACGGTTTCCCATGCTGCGAGACCATGCTGCAGAGAGGCTAAACACTGTTTTCATAGCTCCCAGATTACCTCCCAGTGTATGACTAATACATGTCACATACTGTATACATCAGCTTCTTTTTTCCACTCTTTGTTACTCTCAAACTTTGGCTATCGCTCTATCATCTGTTTGTATATCTGTGTGCCTCCCCATGTCTGTCTCACACACACACAGAAGAGGAGGTGTGCGGCACTGTGGCAGAAGCCTGTCAACAGCGTAAATGACCTGTGAAGAGTTTCACGGTGCATGTCATTAGGCAGCTTTAGATTTGTTTCAACAGCGCTTTATCTTAGGGCTCCATTCATGGGCCCCAAGGTATGACTTCTCTCCCCACTGGGGGTGGGGGGAGTCGAGGCGGGACTTTGCAAATTCCTCTACTTCCTCCATGGAGGACAGTGATGGAAAGCCCATGAGCGTGATGGGGCAGCGCTCAAGAGTTCAGAGTGTCATTGTTTAGATCGATTGTTTAGACACACTTGTGCACATTTCATTTCTTTGGAGCAATTTTCCTCATCATCTAACTGTTATTGTCTTTTATGTATTGGTTCTGCTATTCAAACTGGATTTTTAGAAACTTCACATAAAGACGTTTGACTCAGGATTGTAAAGCTGGATTCCCATTTTCAACTGTAGGTGAAAGTCATCGGTTTTTAAGTTAAAACATGTCTGTATTTAAACATGATGCACAGAGCTTTACAGTGATGAATGGCATTAAGAATAGTATAAACTGCATATGTCCAACTTCGGTGATTCAGTGTTTGTGTGTGATCTATTTCACCCATCTGAGGCAAACACTGCATTTATGTTGTTTCACTGATACTTCTGTACAAATAATTTACAACTAGTAATCAGTAAAACTTCTCTTCTAGGAAAATATGTCATATAAAGGTCAAAGTCACCCAGACGAAATAGTGATAAGGAGTAAGGAGATGTCTACCCTAGTCTTGTTTATATAGTGTAACTCATTGCTTTGGAATGGAAGGAGTAACAGAAAAACACACCTGAAGGTGAAGGATTTATTAGCCCACTGAAAGCTCTGCACTCACCTCAACTTTCTTGAGTTCCATACTCTGATCAAGCCTGGATTTGAACTGTTTTAAAAACTGTCTCGATCCAAATTGATTGATACACCAGCATCACCATGCTTTATTAAGCAAGCTGGTAAGGGTCTGCAGACCTAACCGTATTTTAAGAAGCGAGACTCTCCTGCACACAGCCAACAAAGACCCCTGTTGCCACATTCCTCCAGCCTACATCTGCCAACACCCTTGAGCTACAATGGCTTTGGCCCTTTTTTCCCCAGCCCATAGTAGTCAGCGTGGTCTGTAATGGTGTGTTGACAGGTTTAGGCTGAGGTAATTTTGTTGCTGGGTATTACAGTGAGGTGCCAAACCTTCCCCCAAGGGAAAAGAATCAGCAGATGCAGGGAAGCTAGCTATAGCTTTCTAATATGCACTTTGTTATTGGCTGATTGTTATTATAAAAATCTGGGGAGAAACAGGCTGCAAATCATTTTCATAAGGCTTTCACATAATGACTGTGCATATTCAAGAACATGGAGGTAAGTGCAGGGTTGGTTGTTGCTGTGTTGTACTCTAAGAGACTGAATATGCTAGTGGGGTGCTAAAATGTCAAGTGGAGCTAGCGTCTGTGAGTTGTGTGTTCCTAACTTAAAATGAATCCCGCTGAGCAGAGACACATTTCATTATTTGAAGCATGACGGCATAAAGAGAGGCCAGCTGAGTGGAACTCCAGCTGCTGAACTAAAACACACATACACAGGCACACATGCACATGCGGACACACACAGAAGCAATGTAGAAACACACCGTGGAAAATGCAAGAGAAAGCAAAACTGTTGAGGCCAAGGGTTCCCGTAGCAATGTGCAAAGCAGATCAACCGTACACACACAAAATACACAAGCACCTGCCAGTTGACCATCTCCCGTGGGATGCAGGTCGCAGGGTTCCACAGTGACCCAAGGCCATACAACCAACACACACACTCTGTGACCTTTCCAGGGTCATGCTGGGTCCTGGCTGTGCCTGATGGTGAGTAGCTAATGATGGCCAGTCTTAATAGTGTTAGATCATCTGGGTCGCATTTAAGAGTGGTGGCAAGTGGAGGAAGGGGTCACATTACACAGCATTCAGTCTGGACATGTTTTGTGTTTGTGAAGTTTTTAACCAAAATGACTGTAGAAACAATTGCTACATAGTGATGTAGCATGACAGTCTGTTCGTTCTTATTGTTTATGTCTTTCAAAACAAAACTATTGTTGCTGAACAAATCCTTTCCTGTATGCTCTGAGATGTTTCACAGCAACACTCTACCAGGAACCACATGTTTCAAACAGCACAGCTGGAGCAAAATACATGTAGCCATCTGTTTAAAAGAAAATAGTGTCGAGCTTTTTACAGCCTGCATTTGCAGCCACAAAAAACACACATACACACAACCTGCCCTTTACCTCCAGTCCCAACCTAATCCTAATTCCAATACTGACT